GTAGCTGGAACTACAGGCATATGCTACCACACCCGGCTAGTTTTTTGATTTATTGTAGAGATGAGGTCTCGCCAAGTTGTCCAGACGGGCCACGAACCTGCGGGCTCAGGCAATCCACTCACCTCAGCCTCCCAAAGCGCACGATTACAGGCTGAGCCACCAAACCCGACTATGTTCCAGTATTCTTGCCAGCACTGGAATTTATCAGTATTTTATATTTTTTGTCAGTAGGTTAACAGTAAAATCTTGTTCTAATTTTTATTTATTTATTATTTATTTATTTATTTATTTATTTTTGAGTTGGAGTCTCACTCTGTCACCCAGACTGGAGTGCAGTGGCCGCTCCCAGCCACCGCAGCCTCGACCTGCTGGGCTCCGACGATCCTTCCGCCTCAGCCTTCCGAGTAGCTGGAACTTACAGGCGTGCGCTACCACGCCCGGCTGATTTTTGATTTATTGTAGGGATAAGGTCTCGCCAAGTTTCCCGGGTGGGTCTCGAACCCACAGTCTCAGGCAATCCACTCACCTCAGCCTCCCAAAGGCGCAGGATTACAGGCTGAGTCACTGAGCTCGACTATTTATTTTTATTTATTTATGTTTGAGGCAGAGTCTCACTCTGTTGTTCAGACTGGAGGGCAGTGACATGATGATGGCTGACCATAACCTTGACCTTCTAGGTTCAGGTGATCCTTCCATCTCAGCCTCCCAAGTAGCTGGGAGTACAGGTGTGTACCACCACACTTGGTAATCTTTTTTATTTTTTTGTAGTGACGAGGTCTCGTTAAGATGCCCAGGCCGATTTTGAACTCTTGACCTCAAGTGATCCTCCCTCCTTGGCCTCCCAAATTCCTGGGATTACAGGCATAGGTATGAACCACTGCACCTAGCCCTTTGTTTTAATTTTTATTTTTCTAGTAAATAGTGAAGTTGAGCATAGGACTTATTAGCCATTTGTATTTTTCTTTTCTTTTTGAGTTGAAGTCTCCCTCTGTCACCCAAGCTGCAGTGCAGTGATATGCTCACGGCCACCGCAGCCTCGAACGGCTGGTCTCAGGTGATCCTTCTACTTTAACCTTCTAAGTAGCTAGAACTACAGGTGCATGCCACCATACCTGGCTAATTTTTTGATTTATTGTAGAGACAAAGTCTCACCAAAAATTTGATTTATTGTAGAGACAAGGTCTCTTTATTGGTCTTGAACTCCTGGACTCAGGCAATCCTCTCTCTTCTGCCTCCCAAAATGCTGGGATTACAGGTGTGAGCCACCGCTCCTGGTCTCTCTTTTTTTTTTAAAGAGACGTGGTCTTACTCTGCTGCCCAGACTGGAATGTAGTAGTGCGAACACACCTCACTACATCCTTGAACTCCTGGGCTCCAGCCATCCTTCTTCCTCAGCCTTTTGAGTAGCTGAAACTACAGGCATACGCTACCATGCTCAGTAGTTCTTATTCTATAAAATGTGTATTCGTTTTTCTTCATTTTTTATGTTTAACCTTTTTATTATGATAAAACGTACATAACTAAAATTTACCATTTTAACCACTTTTAACTATACAGTTCATTGGTATTGAGTATGTTTATATTTTGTACAACCATCATCACTATCCATTCCAAAACTTTATCTTCTTGTACTAAAACTTTAACCATTAAACAATAACTTCCCTCCTATACCTCCAAGCCCCTAGCAATCACCAGTCTACTTTATGCCTCTATGAATTTGACTCCTCTAGGTATCTCATATAAGTAGAATCATAAAATATTTGCCCCTTTGTGACTGGCTTTAGATCACTTAGAATAATATTGTCTTCAGGGCTCATCTATGTCATAGTATATATCAGAATTTCATTCCTTTTTAAGACTAAGTCATATTCTGTTGTATATACCCCATTTAATTTTTCCATTCATCTGTTGATGGACATTTGGATTGTTTATACATTTTGGCTATGGTGAATAATGCTGCTATGAACATGCACATTCAAATATCTAGTTGCATCTCTGTTTTCAGTTCTTTTGGATATATACCCAGAAGTGGAATTGCTAAATCAAATGGCTAGTCTATATTTAATTTTTTAAGAACCATTATACTCTTAGATTAACCAATTTACATTTCTACCAACAATGCCCAAGGATTTCAATTTCTCTACATCCTTGCTAGCACTTGTTGGTTTGTTTGATAGTAGCCTTCCTAATGGGTTTGAGATGGTATCTCATAGTGGCTTTGATTTGCATTTTCCTAAGATTAGTGATGTTGAACACTTTTTTCACGTGCTTATTTGCCATTTGTGTATTTTCTTTGGTGCAACATTTATTCAAGTTCTTTGTCCACTTTAAAATCTGGGGTTTTTGTTGTTGTTATTGCTGCCTTTTAAAAAAGTTCCCACTTAATATTTGTTCACTTGATTAAGGCATGGTCTCGGGCCTCACATAGACCTAGTAAGGAAAATAAACCAGTGATTTATATTGGCATTTTAAAGATTATAATAATAGGAAGAGATGTTAGAATTTAAAGAAGAGAGTACATTTAAAAAGGATGATGGAGTGGTATTTGAGGAAAATCTATGAAAAAAGGATTTATCAGTACTTGGATATTTAGTAGTAGCATTAGAGCTGAGGATGGGGAGACTTTTAAATAGTGGAAACAAAGACATAGGGGATAGAAGGTATATTGCAGATAAATAGAAAGCAGTTCAGATTGACTTATTTGTTATTAATGGGAGTGTATACCAGCACTGTGTGTGTGTGTGTGTGTGTGTGTGTGTGTGTGTGTGTGTGTGTGTGTACAGTAATGAGGTTATTTGGCAACAACTATCAGTATTAAAAATGCAGTTGTTGGGCCGGGCAAGGTTGCTCACGTCTATAATCCCAGCACTTTGGGAGGCCAAGGTGAGAGGATTGTGAGCTCACAGGTTCGAGACCAGCCTGACCTCATCTCTTCAATGAATCAAAAAATTAGCTGGGCATGATGGCATGCGCCTGTAGTTCCAGCTACTTGGAAGGCTGAGGCAGAAGGACTCTAGCCTGGGTGACAGAGACTCCAACTAAAAAAAAAAAAAAATTCAAATGTTCTTTTATTATCAGCTACTAGAAATTTATTACACAAATATCCTTGTAGAAATAGACAATTGCAGAATTGTTGCAGTGGCATAAAACTGGAAATAATGTTCTGAAAAGTAGGGAATTGGCTGTTGAAAAGAAGGTTTAGAAAGTATATATGTGTAGCATAACCTTATTGAGGATAGGGTCACTCTATGGACAGATGCAACATTTCTGAAAGAATAACCAAGAAACTTTTGACAATGATTTCACACTAGTACGGGGGATGGCACAGGGGGAATGTTCACTCATTTTATTTTCTTTCTTACAAGAACATTTGAAAAAAGAAAACAATTTTTAACGACCTTTAGAGCTTGATTTTCAAAGCTCTGAATTCTTTACAGTATTTGATGCTGTCTTTTCATGACTGATTTTGATTTCAGGTGTAGAAGGGTGGTAGCAGGTTGAGGAAATAAGTTTTTGTCATCTAAATAATAAACATTATGAGTTTAGACTAAAGAAATCTTTACTACTATTTGGAAAATTTCTTGAGAATGTTCATAAAAATAAATATTAATAACTCTTTACATATCCAGATATTTAAAGAAATTAGAAAAATGAATACTACCTTTAATTAAGTTGCTTTTTAAAAAGATATATTAAGTAAAACTACATTGAACAGTGGGTTGGAGAGGAATTTTCAGTAGACGAGATCACCAACTTCACCTTGTATTTTTATTTTGTTTTGTTTTTTTTTGAGTTGGAGTCTCATTCTGTCGCCCAGACTGGAGTGCAGTGGCTGCTCCCAGCCACCGCAGCCTTGACCTGCTGGGCTCCGGTGATCCTTCCACCTCAGCCTTCCAAGTAGCCGGAATTACAGGAATGCGCTACCATGCCCGGCTGATTTTTTGATTTATTGTAGAGATGAGGTCTCGCTGCCCAGGTGGGTCTCGAACCCACGGGCTCAGGCAATCCACTCACCTCAGCCTCCCAAAGGCGTGGGATTACAGGCTGAGCCACCGAGCCCGGCTCCCTTGTATTTTTATAAAGTTTGGCAGCCAATTTGTGACTTTAAAGGATGAGGCAACTAAATGAGAAGCTTTCATTAATGTAGATATCGTAGCAAGATTAAGCTCTTTATGATAATTTTGTGACTCCTCTCTAATGTGTTATTGAGTTAAAAAACACAATAATTCCTTAATTAGGGAACTTAGTAAACTGTGTTCTTACCTTTAGACAGCTTTTGTACATCATGACTGATAATTTTCCTGCAACTCAGGGAATCTATCAAATTTTACTCTCTGAATTGGTGGACTTAATGCTGTCAGTTCACAAAAGCAAGAGTTTAATGCTTGCTTTCTTCTTTTATATTATAAACTTAACTTTAAGGCAAAACTGTTATTTAATGGTCTTTGTGATTTCAGCAAAGTGCTTCTAATTTGAAAAGACTAGAGGGGAGCTAGTAGGTTGATGATCAAAGTGCTTCTTAAAGAAATTTTAGGTTGTCATAGGTTCAGTTGCGTTTTAAAAAAAGAAGTGTCAGCCGGGCTCGGTGGCTCAGCCTGTAATCCCGTGCCTTTGGGAGGCTGAGGTGAGTGGATTGCCTGAGCCCGTGGGTTCAAGACCCGCCTGGGCAGCGAGAACTCATCTCTACAATAAATCAAAAAATCAGCCGGGTGTGGTAGCGCATGCCTGTAATTCCGGCTACTTAGAAGGCTGAGGCAGAAGGATCGCCGGAGCTCAACA